ATCAGTCTATTCAAATCATCCTGGAGTGCTCTAGTGTCGTCATTAGAATGAATTGGGTGGCCTATTTTGGTGTCATCAGCAAATTTGCTTATGTCGCTATTTATTCCCTCATCTATGTCGTTTATGTAAATTGTGAACAACAACAGGCCTAACACTGACCCCTGAGGAACACCGCTTGTGACGTGCCCCCATTCTGATTTCTCCCCATTTATGCAAACACTCTGCTGTCTATTTGTCAGCCATGCCTCTACCCAGGAAAAAATTTCTCCTCCTATTCCGTGTGCCTTAAGTTTCCTCAATAGCCTCTGGTGTGGAACTCTATCGAAAGCCTTACTGAAGTCCATATACACAATATCATATTCATTACCATGATCTACCTCCTCGAACACCTTAGTGAAAAAAGTTAATAAATTCGTAAGACAGGAATGCCCCTTTGTAAAACCATGTTGAGATTCATTAATCAATCTGTTTATCAAGATGGCTATGAATTGCTTTGGCAATTATTGATTCCACAAATTTTCCCACTCTGGAGGTAAGGCTTATTGGTCTATAGTTTGAAGCCAGGGACCTGTCACTTGCCTTGTAAATAGGTATTACATTTGCCATTTTCCACTTATCAGGCACTATGCCAGTTTGTAGTGGTATGTTCCTCTTTACATTCCTTTAACACCCTTGCAAATAGTTCATCAGGACCTGGGAATTTGTTAGGTTTTAGTTTCTCTATTTGTCTGAGGACCATGTCACTAGTTACCACAATTGTGCATAGTTTATTATCATCCTGTTCTACATAATCTATTATTTCAGGAATATCGCTAGTATTTTCCTGGGTGAAAACTGAGAGGAAGTAGGTATTGAGAATTTCACACATATCCTTATCACTGTCAGTGATCTGACCAGAGTTACTCTTAAGTGGGCCAATCTTGTCCCTAATCTTACTTCTGTATACCTGAAAGAACCCTTTTGGGTTAGTCTTTGAATCCCTTGTGACCTTAGCCTCATAATCCCTTTTTGTTTTTCTTATTCTTTTCTTTATTTCTCTCTTTAATTGAATATATTGATATCTTAACTGCCCATGCCCTCTTTTGATATGCCTAATTTCAACAACATATTAAATCCCAAAGATCTGTTTTTCTTTATATGGGTCTAGCATTAACACATTAACTTCGAAACGTAGATCTATGTTCGCTCGCCCAGTGCTCTGAATATTTTGAATTTTTTTTTTTTTTTAAATTAAAGAAGGCAATTTTCTGTGTGTAATAAGACAAAAAAAATTTTTTGAGGACCAGTGCTTACTGAGATTTAAGACCCCAAATTTGACGCTGGATGCTCACCGGACAGCAACATTGAGTCCTGCTGCTTGCAGAAGTGTTGCCAATATACCTTTTTTTTCTCGTTTTTATATTTTTTTTCTATAGTCAATCTTTGTTCTGACACTGGTACTAGGTACTGAAATTGTACTCAAATTGTTACACACTGGCATGTGAACATTTATACCTGCCATGGTCATTTACTATTGTCTAGGAATTCATATGTACAAAGTATTTATAGGTTCCAGCAATGATTTAAGAGACGCTGGAGTGCGTATATATGAAACTTTTTGAAGCATAGTGTTAAGACGAGTGTTACTAAACTGCTGACAGGGTAAGCAGTGGAGTTACACTTGATGATTGTGCACTGCTGCAGGGAACCCCTGGCTTTATTTGTTTTCACTGTTACACGTAAACATGTCTGTCTGTCTGTCTGTCTGTCTAGCTATGTCTGTTTATCTGTCTTTCTATCTGCCTGTGTGTGTGTCTTTCTGTCTGCCTGTGTGTGTGTCTTTCTGCCTTCCTTTGTGTGTCTGTCTGTCTGTCTTCCTGTGTGTGTCTGTCTTTCTGTCTCCCTATGTGTCTGTCTTTCTGTCTGCCTGTGTGTGTCTGTCTTTCTGTCTGTGTCTGTCTTTCTGTTTGTGTCTGTCTGTCTGTGTGTGTGTCTTTCTGTCTGCCTGTGTGTATCTGTCTTTCTGTCTGCCTGTGTCTCTGTTTTTCTGTCTGCCTGTGTGCCTCTGTCTTTTTGTCTGCCTGTATGTGTGTGTGTGTCTTTCTGCCTTCCTTTATGTGTGTCTTTGTCTGCCTCTGTGTGTCTGTCTTTCTGTCTGTCTGTGTGTGTGTGTCTTTCTGTCTGCCTGTGTGTGTCTGTCTTTCTGTCTGCCTGTGTGTGTCTGTCTTTCTGTGTGTTTCTGTCTTTCTGTCTGATTGTCTCTCTTGTCTCAGAGAGTTGCTCATGAACCAAGTGGTATTACACGCGATCATGTCTGATTCCTAAACAAGTGAAAATGTGTATTACTTGCCAGTTGCCAGTCATGCTTATTATGCATTATATCTACAAGTACAGTATAGCACTTTGTCTGGATTTTTTGGGTTATCCTGGGTAATTTACACTATATATAATTGTATTTACATATGTGTACCTGTGAGATAGAGACAGATAGACAGAGACAGAGATAGAGACAGAGAAAAAGATAGAGAGAGAGACTGAGATATAGACAGACAGACAGAGATAGAGACAGCCAATCAGCCAGCCTGCTGAACACGTATTACACATTCCAGAATTGTTTCTTTTTATTTAGGGCATAGGTTATAAGACATTCTGGCAGGACACTACCAGTAGCACCAAAATTGAAAGGGTGTTGCACAAATGTTGCACATTGGTTATTATCAAGGTTTTTTATATTTCTGCAACTAGTGGTGGTCACATCCACCTCAAAGCCACTAAATTCGGGGTCAACGTCACTTTCCTCTTAAAAGGGGAGTGTTAATACGACATGACCTCTGTGAATCCTTGGTGTTTGCCATGCTGTTTGCTTTAGGTGGCATTCAGTTGAACTGGTGCTCCCACGAGGTACTAAGTGGTCCCAGATTTTTTTTAATAGTGCACACACCGAGTGTTAAGACCCACTCTATGCTAACCAAGCATCTCAGGCCAGTTGTGCCAAATTTGGAGGCAGGAAAAATAAAACATAGATCTATGTTTGGAGTGCTAGGGTAAGACTGTAAATCTGCATTTGGACAGTTAATGGGTTAAGATTCTGTGCAATAAAACATAGATCTATGTTTGGAGTGCTAGGGTAAGACTGTAAATCTGCATTTGGACAGTTAATGGGTTAAGATTCTGTGCAAGAAAGGTATAAAATACCAACAAGATAAAAGTTAAGACACATATACAACATCTGGTTATCTTTATTGTACAATAAAGATAACCAGAGGTTAAGATTCTCTTGAGCTTTTTTTGAATTCCTTTATAACCAGCTCATTCAGATGAAACACGTTACAATTTTAGGAAGCTTCAGGCTTCTACTTCATCAGGTTTTTTAGACTCTTTATTATCAAATAAAAAGTATCTTAACCCCTTCAGGGTCCAAGGCCAAAATCTGAAGTGGTGCCCCAGTGTCCAAGAATTTTAAAAAAAAAAAATTTGTTATTTTTTCTTATGAAATGGTAGAGAATCTTTTTGTGAAGGTAATAAAACAAAAAGTATGAAATTTGATGGAAAATTGACGAAATTATGTTCTCGCGAATTTTGATGTGTCAGCGATATTTACGAATCGGCGATTTTGCCGACTTTGACTCCCATTTTAGGCCAATTACATTATTCCAGTCGACCAAATTCTTAGCTATTTCACTGGTATTACTTCTATTCTATCGATTGAGCACAAGAAATTGCCAAGTCAACTGTTTCAACTACAAAATAAAGTGATTGGAAATTGGTAATTTGGCCAATTTAACCCTTAAATGGTCCAAACGTATATATACGTTTTTTCAACATCTGAAAGTATGTAAAAAAATGTAGATTTTTTTTTTGTTTTACATTTGAAAACGTGTAAAAACAAGTAGATCTACTTTTGTAGCACTACGAATTTGAACGTTGATCTGTTTGGACCGTTTAAGGGTTAACACAAAGTTCAAAATATTCCAATTTCAAAATAGGGTCCAGAATAAACAGTGTAAGTATTCCTGGCACTAAATTAACATTTCCTCTGTTCATTAGTTATGTTTTGAGGCTTTACAAATAAATTCCATTTTGATTTTTTATTCACATAATGAATTTTTATTCACACCAAAAAATAGAAGATTTACTGTTATGCAATATTGTAATAATTGTATAAATATCATCACCACATTTGTGAATGTATATTAGACCCACCAGCTGGTGTGTATTAGACGTGTGAGGTCGTGTGTTTACTCTTGAACATCGGCAAAAATTTAACATTTCCGCTACTTTGAGCTCAGTTTCAAGCCGTTTCCAGTGCTAAAACCAATCAAAATCATCTCTATTTCTGTAATATGTCTTCCATTCTATCAAATGAGACCAATTACAACTATAAAAAGCATATGAAAAAGCACTGCAAAGTCGCTGTTTTAATCGAAAATCATGGTTTCAGTTTTTTTCTCTCATTATATACAGTGTGCTGCAGGATTTGTTTTATGTGGTGCACACATACCACATAGATGTATTCTCTTATATCTAGGCCCAAATGTACCACTCGCAGTTTATCAGAGTGAGCTGAGCTCATGGCGTAGATCTACGGTTTGGACTCTGACCGTAAAGCCGTAGATCTACAGGACGGACCCTGAAAGGGTTAATGGGAATATGGCCCTAGATGCAAGCCCAGCTTTCTATTATATCATGTATTGATTTTAAGGTAATTCTAACACAGTGAATTATTTCAATTAAAAAATAATTTAATCTGGTATATATAGGAGAATCAGATAGCAAATTATTATTCGTCTTTCAACAAACCAGCCATTTTTAACTTAGTAATATATACAGGAGAAGAGGTTACTAGCCTCTTTCTCCTGTCATTTTAGTCACCTCTTACAATACCATGGCTTATGGAGGAAGAATTCTGTTCCACTTCTCCACGGGGTAGCAAATTATATATAACAGTATTTTATTTACACTTTATATTGCAGTACATTGGCATTATATTTTTATTTGACATTCATGTTCATCTTCCACAGATGAGCAGTCACAATTTGCTGAATATTCGTGGTAGTGGTGATGACATTCCTGTCAGTAAACGTGTATACCTTGATCGACGTTTGGTCTCCCTAGCCCACACCTGGAGTGGATTCTCTGTGCTGGCTATGGATACCTCAGGCTGTCTTCACTTCATTACGCTTATGAGACCAGCTGATGTAGGTGGGTATACAAGCAGCCAAGTGTTTTTGTGAGATCAGCTGATGTAGGTGCATTGTGAGACCAGCTGATGGAGGTGTATTGTGAGACCAGCTGATGTAGGTGCATTGTTAAACCAACTGATGTAGGTGCATTGTTAGACCAGCTGATGTGGGTGCATTGTGAGACTAGCTGATGTAGATGGGTATACAAGCAGTCTTGTGTTTTTGTGAGACCAGCTGATGTTGGTGCATTATGTGACCAGCTGATGTAGGTGCATTGTGAGACCAGCTGATGTAGGTGCATTGTGAGTCCAGCTGATGTAGGTGCTTTGTGAGACCAGCTGATGTAGATGCATTGTTAGACCAACTGATGTTGGTGCATTGTTAGACCAGATGATGTAGGTGCATTGTTAGACCAGCTGATGTAGGTGCATTGTGAGACCAACTGATGTAGGTTCATTGTGAGACCAACTGATGTAGGTGCATTGTGAGATCAGCTGATGTAGGTGGGTACATTTACATCAGCTGCAGCATAGAGTTGAATATGTAGTGAAAATTCAACCTGTCTTGTATTACATTTTAGCTGATGTGCCAAGCCTCGACAAAGAGCAAGTTTAATTCCTTTATATAGTAATTCAGAAAAGTGAACAAAATATAGTACAAAAAAATATTGTAAAGCTTTGTTAGTATCCCATGCAAAGTTTATGGCAGAATTGCTATCTAAAGCAATGGGAATGGGGGTACACAATAATAATAATAATTTTCCCTATGAATACAATATTGCTGTGGGATAGGGGCAAGGTATAGAACAGCATGCCATAAATGGAGAGCAAGGTGAGTGGTGCATTGAGGTATTTGTGGAGATAAAAAACGTCATCCATGAAGACAAAGAAGGGAATATACGAGAGTATAGTGGTACCAACACTCTTATATGGGTGTGAAGCATGAGTTGTAAATGCTGCAGCAAAGAGAAGGTTGGAGGCAGTGGAGATGTCATGTCTAAGGGCAATGTGTGGTGTAAATTTTATGCAGAGAATTCGTAGTGTGGAAATTAGGAGGAGACATGGAGTTACTAAAAGTATTAGTCAAGAGGGTTGAAGAGGGGTTGTTGAGTAGTTTGGTCATTTAGAGAGAATGGAACAAAGTACAATGATTTGGAGAGCATATAAATCTGTAGGGAAAGGAAGGCGGGGTAGGGGTCATCCTCGAGAAGGTTGGAGGGAGAGGGGAAAGGTTTTGTGGGTGAGAGGCTTGGACTTCCAGCAAGTATGCATGAGCATGTTAGACAGTGAATGGAGACGAATGGTTTTTGGGACTTGACGAGCTGTTGGAGTGTGAGTGCAGTATTGGAGTGTGAGTGCAATATTGGAGTGTGAGTGTAATATTTTGTGAAGGGATTCAAGGAAACTGGTTAACCAGACTTGAGTCCTGGAAATGGGAAATGCAATGCCTGCACTTTAAAGGATGTGTTTGGGATATTGGCAGTTTGGAGGGACATCTAAACTGTCGTATCTGAGTGCCTCTGCAAAGACAGTGATTATTTGTGAGTGATGGTGAAAGTGTTGAATGATGAAAGTTTTTTCTTTCTTTTTGGGTCACCCTTCCTTGGTGGGAAACAGCCGATGTGTTAAAAAAAAAAAACAGTATCTAGGAATTCCCACACTATCTGATGTAGAGTAAACCAGTCCTGCACATAAAAAATAACCTCCACTCCAAGGTGGTGATGCCCAGTAAGAGGGTTCGTGGCAATAACCCTTTTGGAGTATGAATGAGTCCCCTGGAATCACAAGGGCAGCCCCAGGGGACATTCAGAATTCTCAGGGCTCATTCTTATTTTCACAGTTAATGCAGCCTTCAGTATTCTCAAGACTAACATTCTTGTTTCCATTAATGAACAAAGCCAGCATTGTCAAGGTTCTCATTTTTGTTTTCAGTAGCAAATAATGCCAGCATTTTGAAGGCTCACAATCTTATTTCCATAAGTCAGTAAAGGAAATTTTGCAGACTGAATCCTATCCTTAGGTATAGAAAAATGCCTAGTAAATGTGATCCTCATTAGTGAATATTTTTCTTAAATTCCATTTTATCAACAGGTCCACAGTGGGCAATATCAGTAATTCTGTTACTAGAATTTGCATTGGTTAGTGGCAATGATTGGTGGGACTTACTGGTATCCACTCCTCCAACATCCGTCCCTACACTAACAGAAAAACTCTCTGAGACCTTCCACCAGCATTCTGCTCCTATCATTCAGCACCTTCATACACGGTTTCTCGTCATGAAAACATCAATGTTGAGGTAAGTTTTGACCCAGTAATAAAAATTTAAAACATTTATTTCTTCTTCTTTCAACAAATCGGTCGTATCCCACTGAGGCAGGATGGCCTAAAAAGAAAAACAAAAGTTTCTCTTTTAACTTTAGTAATGTATACAGGAGAAGGGGTTACTAGCCACTTGTTCCCGGCATGTTAGTCACCTCTTATGACACGCATGGTTTATGGAGGAAGAATTCTGTTCCACTTCCCCATGGAGATAAGAGGAAATAAACAAGAACAAGAACTAGTAAGAAAATAGAAGAAAACCCAGAGGGGTGTGCGTGTATATACCTACCATCCAACTTACGACCTGCTCGACCTACAACCATTCAACTTATGACCATGTTTTCTATGCCAAATTTCTGAGAAATAAACAACTGTTTGTGTTGTACACAGTGTGTATCCTGAACCTTACATTATAAAATACAGTACTAACAGCATAAAAAGCAAAGTAAAAAATGAAACAAAATAAAACAATAAAATAAAGTCATTACAAAAATGTGACGTTGATATTCAGTAGTAAGGTTCGACTTACATCCATTTCGACTTACGACCGGTTTGTCGGAACCGAACTCGGTCGTAAGTCGGATGGTACCTGTATATGCTTTTACGTGCATGTGCTGTGTGACCTAAGTACAGGTAGAAGTAGCAAGACGTACCTGAAATCTTGCGCATTTCTTTTTCTTTCAGCAAACCGGCCATCTCCCACCGAGGCAGGGTGACCTCAAAAAAAAAAATGAAAGTTTCTCTTTTTAAATTTAGCAATTTATACAGGAGAAGGGGTTACTAGCCCCTTGATCCCAGCATTTTAGTTACCTCTTATGATACGCATGGCTTACGGAGGAAGAATTCTGTTCCACGTCCCCATGGAGATAAGAGGAAATAAACAACAACAAGAATTAGTAAGAAAATAGAAGGGTGTTTCTTAATAATTTTTTTTAACACGTCGGCCACTTCCCACTGAGGCAACGTGACCCAATAGGAAAGAAAAACCCAAAAAAGAAGAAAGAACTTTCATCATCATTCAACACTTTTACCATCACTCATACATAATCACTGTTTTTGCAGAGGGCCTCACTCAGATACAACAGTTTAGATGTCCCTACAAACTGCCAATATCCTAAACCCCTCCTTTAACCCTTTGACTGTTTCAGCCATATATATACATCTTACGAGCCAGTGTTTCAGACGTACATATGCTCAATAATTCTAGCGGCTTCAAATCAAGCAGGAGAATGGTGGTAGGCCCACATGTGAGAGAATGGGTCTGTGTGGTCAGTGTACACTGTATAAAAAAAAATCCTGCAGTACGTAGTGCATAATGAGAGAAAAAAAAACTCTGTGTTTTTGGATTAAAATGCTAAATTTGAGGTGTATTTTCATATAGTATTTATGGTTTTATTCTCTTTTTCTTGGTCTCATATGATAGAATGGGAAACATATTACAGAAATAGATGATTTTGATTAGTTTCACGATGAAAACGACCTTGAAATTGAGCTCAAAGAAGCGGAAATGTTCGATTTTTACCAATGTTCAAGAGTAAGCAAATCACACCACACGTCCAATACACTTCAACTGAGGAGTCTAATATTCTTTCACTAGTGCACTGATATTATTTATACCATTTTTACAATAATGCAGTGAATAAAAAATCAAAATAGAAAGCAAGAGTAATATAAGAGGGGCCAGGATATGTTATTTTAGTGCCAAGAATATCTGCATTGTTTATTCTGGACCCTGTTTTGAAATTGGCATCTTTTTTAATTTGCATTAATTGGCCAAATTGCCAATTTCTGACCACTGTATTGGGGAGTTAAAATGGGTAAATTGACGGTTTCTTGTACTCAATTGATAGAAAAAATGGAGTTTTAAAGAAATAGCTATGAGTTTGGTTGACTGGAACAATGGAATTGGCTGAAAATAGGGCTCAAAGTTGGTGAAATCGCTAATGCGTTTATGTATATCGCTGAGATCGCTAACTTCACTGGAGCATAATTCTGTAAGTTTTCTATCAAATTTTGAACTTTTGGTGTCATTGCCATCGGAAAAAGATTCTCTATCATTTCATAAGAATTTTTTTTTTTTTTTTTTTTTTTTTTTTTTTTCAAAAATTTTTCGACATCAGGAAATACTTCAGGATTTGGGGTTGCAGCAGTCAAAGGCTTAACCCTTAAACTGTCCAAATGTAGATCTATGTTAGTACCATTAGCACCCCAGATGTATATCAGCATTTTATTTTTCCTGCCTCCAAATTTGGCATGATTGGCATGAGATGTTTGGTCAGTATAGAATGGGTCTTAACACTCTCTGTGCATATTATTAAAAAAATCTGGGACCACTTAATAATAATAATAATAATAATAATAATAATATTTTATTTTGACATAATACATAGTTTCAAATAGAGTTAGAGCTAAAGAAGGAGTAGCAATAATGTTGAAGGATAAGCTATGGCAGGAAAAGAAGGACTATAAATGTATTAATTCAAGGATTATGTGGAGTAAAATAAAGGTTGGATGTGAAAAGTGGGTTATAGTAAGTGTATATGCACCTGGAGAAGAGAGAAGTGTAGAGGAGAGAGAGAGATTTTGGGAAATGTTGAGTGAATTCATGGGGAGTTTTGAACCAAGTGTGAGAGTAATGGTGGTTGGGGATTTCAATGCTAAAGTGGGCAAAAATGTTGTGGAGGGAGTAGTAGGTAAATTTGGGATGCCAGGGGTAACTGAAAATGGGGCGCCTTTAATTGAGCTATGTGTAGAAAGAGGTTTGGTAATAAGTAATACACCTACCCTCCAATTTACAACCTGCTCGACATACGTCCACTCGATTTACGACCGTGCATCTGGCAGCTGGGCTGGGCCGGCTGATGCACACCACTGTACAATATTTGACAATACTCTCGGCGGCAGTGAGTCATGCAGGCAGCATCAGTTTGAGTAACCCTGCCCTATCAGCAGCATCATACTGTATTAACTGTACTAACTGGACAGTAAATTTCACCATGGCCCCTAAGATGAAGTCTGAATCTTTCACTGGAGATTGTGGCAAGAAAGGCTCATACTCTCGAACTCTCTATTTGTTTTCACTGTTGCACATAAACCTGTCTGTATCTGTCTGCCTGTATATCTGTGTATCTCTTTGTGTCTGTTTATCTGTCTGTCTACCTGTGTATCTGTCTTTCTGTCTACCTGTGTCTATGTCTACCTGTGTGTCTGTCTTTCTGTCTACCTGTGTGTCTGTCTTTATGTCTACCTGTGTGTGTCGTTCTGTCTACCTGTGTGTCTTTCTGTCTACCTGTGTGTGTCTTTCTGTCTACCTGTGTGTGTCTTTCTGCCCTACCTGCATGTGTCTGTCTACCTGTGTGTCTTTCTGTCTTTCTGTCTACTGGTGTGTCTGTCTTTCTGTCTACCTGTGTGTTTCTGTCTACCTGTGTGTTTCTGTCTACCTGTGTGTTTCTGTCTACCTGTGTGTGTCTTTCTATCTGTGTGTGTCTGTCTGTGTGTCTTTCTGTCTACCTGTGTGTCTTTCTGTCTGCTTGTCTGTCTCAGAGCCACTCATTAAGAGTGTTATTGGTCTTGAAGACGCCATATTAATAATAATAATAACACAATAATAAATATTTGAGGCTCATTAAATGTGTATAAAATGTTGATATAGACATTTTGCTTAATCCATCCATGATTTCTTATTCAAAATTATATAATAAACATGCTACATAACATATAAACACATAAATTAACAAATATGAGATGTTTTTCTGGTCGGTTTGACAGAGTGAACAGGAACCATTCGTGTCCGGGCTGGTAACAACAACAACAACAACGTTTGTTTACATAACTCGCCAACCTTCTACACTCTCATTCGTTTATTCATTTAATCTTGTTTACTCACCTCTCACTCTACATTAAGACTACAGATATTTTAAGGTAAGTAATGAGTGGACACATTATATTATAGTTTAATAATATTGTTATTATTAATATTAGTACATATGTATTATTGTAATAATAATACAGTGGACCCCCGCATAACGATGGCATCACATAGCGATTAATCCGCATACCGCTTGCTTTAATCGCAAAAATTTTGCCTCACATACCGCTTAAAAACCCGCTCACCGATTTTCGTCCGAGACGCGTCCAGTGTGCGGCCTCAGCCACGCTCACATGTTCCGCCGGTGGCATTGTTTACCAGCCAGCCTCCGCGGTAACATCCAAGCATACAATCGGAATATTTCGTATTATTTCAGTTGTTTTCGGTGCTTTTTTTGGAAAATAAGTGACCATGGGGCCCCAAGAAAGCTTCTAGGCCAACCCTACAGCAATAAGGGTGAGAATTACAATAGAGATGAAGAAAAGATCATTGATAAGTATGAAAGTGGAGTGCGTGTCTCCGAGCTGGCCAGGTTGTATAATAAAAACCCCCAAACAACCATCACTAATAATTGGTGGTACAGCTGCTGCTGCTGCTGCACTGTCACTGCTGCTGCTGCTGTAGCATCGTCTGCTGCTGCTGTAACATCGCTGTTGCTGCTGTAGCGTCGTCTGTTGCTGCTGTACCACCGTCACCTGCTGCTGCTGCTGTAGCATCGTCTGCTGCTGCTGTAACATCGTCTGTTGCTGCTGTAGCATCGTCTGTTTCTGCTGTACCACCGTCAGCTGCTGCTGCTGCTGTAGCATCGTCTGCTGCTGCTGTAACATCGTCTGTTGCTGCTGTAGCATCGTCTGTTGCTGCTGTACCACCGTCAGCTGCTGCTGCTGCTGTAGCATCGTCTGCTGCTGCTGTAACATCGTCTGTTGCTGCTGTAGCATCGTCTGCTGCTGCTGTAGCATCGTCTGGTTGCTGCTGTACCACTGTCAGCTGCTGCTGCTGCTGTAGCATCGTCTGCTGCTGCTGTAGCATCGTCCCGCTGCTGCTGTAGCATCGTCTGTTGCTGCTGTACCACCATCAGCTGCTGCTGCTGCTGTAGCACCGTTGTTGGT